AATACTTATTTCCCTCATTAAAATGCAAATCAATTGATAACATTTTTGACATGCATTTTTCTGGATTTTGTTGTTGTTATTCTGTCTCTCACTGTTCAAATAAACCTACCATTAAAATTATAGACTGATCATTTCTTTGTCAGTGGGCAAACGTGCAAAATCAGCAGGGGATCAAATACTTTTTTTCCCTCACTGTACGTGACTTTACCGAAAGAATAAAAAAAGATATTATTTGTATTTAATTTTTCTACCGACGTGACTTTACCGAAATAATAAAAAACATATTAATTAGTAATAATAGGTTTTACCCTTTTAACTGGCACAAAAACTGACACCTTTATTCAAGGCATCATGTTTGCAATAACCACAACAGTCAAAATGCAAACAAAAGAGACAACTCTGATAATAAAATGTACTGTCCTTGAATTTGATTGGTCCACACTCGAGACGGCTTTTCTTAGAGCCTAGTCTCCACTGGTGTTGGACCAGAAGACGCCAAAGGCGTATTGTGCCAGTTAAAAGGGTAAAACCTATTACTATATCTTCTTACTGGCAAAGTCTCATAAAATAAAAGATTAGTTATTTAATTTTTATACCTCCGTGACTTTTTACCAAAAGAACTAAAGAGTACAATTGAAAGGGACGCTGACAACGGCAGCAACACAAAAAGCCCCGCGGTAAACGTGACGACGCGTCAGCTCCATCGCTGGCGGAGCCGCTTTGCGGTCCCTTGGGCGGCAGCAGACGACGCATACGGCTCAAGCAGAAAGTCGAACTGTCGGGGTCACGCTCGCCACCACATCCAGTCCCGGGCGATATCACAAAACTACTTCTAAAAATAAAAAAAAACCTTTTTGTAAAAAAGCAAACCAATGCCTAAATTTCGATTTAAAGCTTCTGTGGATGTGTAGGCTTTGACTTTAACATACCTATTTCTATGACCAGTCACAAGCTAATCCCTCAGTTATTTCAATGCTAAATTCTCCGGTTTGATTTGTACTAGGTGCCTCTGTGGATGTGTAGGCTTTGACTTTAACATAGCTATTTCTATGACCAGTCACAAGCTAATCACTCAGCTATTTCAATGCTAAATTCTCCTGTTTGATATGTAAACCCCTTTGTCAAGGTGCCTCACTTCTCTAAACCAGCTTAAAAGACGCTACAAATCTTAACGTTCATTGAAGCTCTGTCGTCCCGACAGGTCTGTTCCTTTCACCTGAAGAAGGCCACTTGTGTTGTGGCCGAAACGTCGTGAGAATTTTATTGTTATTTTATTTTATTAATTTATTATGTTATTCTCATTCCACGCGACTTTACCGAAAGAACCAAAGAAGATGAAACCAATGCCTCTTGCCCGAAACGAGACCGTGTGCTCTTCGCACTCGGCAAGGGGTAATGCGTTGCACGGTCACTGCATCGCGCGATTGCGGTTGCGCTCCCGCGGACGTCTGGAACGATTCTTCATGCCGATATTAGGAAGCCATTGGAGCTATACACTTTGAATTCGTCTAGATTGACTTATGTAATTTCTACAGAACTGATTTTTTTGTGTCTGCTGTCCTTCCCCCCCCCCGCACCTCTGATCAGCACGGTTGGCTACATATGGTGTGAAAGAAGTTCGTTCAACAGACATACATATATTGGGCAGGAAAAGTGCTGTAATGTGATGCGAAATAATAAAATAAAGAATATCTACGTAATGCTGGTGGATGCACTGTTACATTCAATTTAAACAAAAATAGCACGTGGCTATGCTTCACCCGCCCCCCCCCCCCCCCCAAGACAGATTGTGATACACTCCGACTCTGCTGGCTCACTCGACGAGCAGAGAGAAAGCGAGCGCCACTCAAAGCCTCGCTCATCTCGTCAAGCAGCGTGAACCACCATCACGCGAATTCCGCTCATCCTCGCAGCAGTGACTTTTTAATCGGCCATCGAACAATGGCGGTGGTCACCGCCGCATCGCCGCGCGCTTTCGGATGCGCTTCTGCGGCCGTCTGGAACGCTCTTCCTTCTTATATTAGGAAGCCACTGGAGCTATGCGCTTTAAAATCATCTAAATTGACGAACTCATTTCTTTAGAACTGCTTTTTGTGTGTGCAGTTTGTCGTCGTCCCCGCCACGCTGATTAGCACGGTTGGCTACATATGGTGTGAAAGAAGTTCAACGTACGTGGTATTCATTAGGTATCATAAAGCACCAACACATTTACTGCAGCATGACGTCTCCCCAAAAGCCTTCGCCATCTCTCACAATGGATGTGTGGTGTCATCAGCCATGACCAATCCACTGCTGGATGAAGGTCTACCCCTCCCCCCCTCCTCCTCCTCCCACCACACCCCAAGACGTCACCACCTGTCACGGTACTGCGATGCAGCAACAATACTCATTCGGGCATCTATTTATACAATCTAAAGACACTGTGTTAAGTGGAGAGGGGAAAAAAAAAACGATTTTGACATGGGTGTGTTTTTATAGTCGCCATTCGTGACCAAGCCGTCAAACAACCCTTGGCTCGAAAGCCGGATTCCGATCGTCCGCGCTGCTCAGTTGATACAAATCAGTGCTGGGCAGTTGCCTCGAGGCCCTGACAGAATATCTTCTGCTGAAATACATTCCTGTCAGCTGGAAAGGATGCTCGCTTGTCATATGCTGTAGCAGTGATCATTACACCACCATCAAGCTTTGGACTGGCCCTAGTTATGTACATTTGGTGTCCTTGAAAATGTTAGTGAAAACAAAACATGCTGATTTGGGGACATCCCGGCAACTGATTTGGTGCGGTCATGGTGTATGCGCCTTGAACCCGGAGAGAGAGAGAGAGTCGGGGGGGGGGGGGGAATTTCCGATTAAAGGATCGCGCAGGCTGCCTAATCAGCTCTGGCTGGAGGCGTGACACCAGTGATGTGCATCGGGCAGCTGCTGCAGTACAACAAAGTTGTGAGTGCAGAAGGCGGTAACAACTCGTTTCCAACGATGCTACCTGTCTGGCTGAGTTGGATTATCTTCATATGTACACACATGCGAGTTTCACCCTGTTCTTATGGTTCGCCCCCCCCACACCTCCCCTCACCACCCCCGAAAAATAATCTTATTTGGAATGGCCCAATTACTCGAAAGGATATTCCACTCTCGATAACGTATATACTGTTTATGTAAAATAAATAACCCTGAAATTCCATGAATATTTAATTGGAAATGTACGATTTCGTGTTTTGAACACGCGTCATTATTCGGTAAACGTGGAGTCGCATGTTTTGGGGATGGTCAAGTTCCCTCGTGTGATCATCTCGATGGTTCGTCCGATCCCAGACGGACTAACTCGCTCCTGTCCCGATCCGATGTCTCGCAATTTAAAAAGCACTTTTTTAAAATCTAACAGAGAGCACAAAAACACGCAGTGAACGATGAAAAAGCCACTTCCTCCTCCTGCAGGGAATCTGAAACAATACAAAGCAAAAGCATCGACGATTCAAGCTCGGAAGCCACCGGCTTTGAGGCAGCGTTGGTGGATCACGCGGGCGATGGCACTGCTGCGTGAGACACAAAAGACAAAGATCCTTCCCCGTAGAGCCTTAACAGGAATCGAACTCGGGTGGACGGGTTCGTAGTGCACACAGCGCGCTAGCCGCTGCACTACCACTCCCCCCGCACACACCCTGCCTGTAAGGAGGCAGGTAAAGCAAGCAGATGTTTGATCGATTATGTCAAGTAGACATGTAAACTCACAGTTACATTTCATTCCAAGTATTTTCATTAACCCTTTCAACAGCTGGTCCCCGTCTGATCTCAGCACCTCGTGTACCGTGCGGGCATTCTTAGGTGCTCACGGACAGCACTTGCCTCCAAAGAGCTTGGCAAGACTATAAGGAGGGGGGGGGGGGTCTTGGTCTTGCCAGCCAATTCTCTCCACTGTGCTACCAATCCGACTTGATAACCCGAGTTCGATTTACAGTCATGAACAACATCGGTGGCAAATTGTATCTAAACCAGATCTTTGTCAGCACGTGGAGATGTTTCTTTCCTGTCTGGTAGGTCCCGAAACATTCACCAGACTGAATGATTTGTTTTTCAGGCCACACACACACACACACACATGATATTTGCTGCCATCTAGTGGCATCATCTGGGAAAGAATGTTTGCACGCAAGGCACCCAGGGTCATGATACCCAATATTTCTGATAACTATTTTGATAAAAAACCTAACTGACAGTTCACATAATATAAAACGTATCTGGCTTTAGAGTGACGTGTACAGTTGAAAGCAGAGAGGATCGGTGACATTTTGTTGGGTAGCGTTGAGAAGTATTTTCTTTTTTTAGTTTAAAAATATATCCCAGCTGTATTGTTGGGGAGCGACGAGTAAGAGATGTCCTGCAAGACATTTTGCGGCAGCAGCAAAGCCACACACGTTATTTTACTGACTTTCCCAAGCTTGGCAATTCATGTACTAAAGCGATTTGAACTTCTATTTTGTATTTATTTATCCTATAAATTTCCACACGATAAGCCACTTTTGTTAAGCTATCGTTTGTGGCCAGGTCGCTTCTGAAATATAAGCCACTAGTTTAGTTGGCTTTACCTGGAAGGATAAAACGTACTTTACTTTGATATATTGTTTTAAGTAATTTGTTTACCTTTCCTTACTGGACATTTGAAAAAGAGCTTCATAGCTCATCAGGTCCCTCCAGTATGAATACACATTCTGATTCTAAAAGCCAGAGGGAACCACACACCCTCTCTTGGAAGTCACTTCAATAGGGTGACCCCCTTCTCCGCACCCAACGGCAGACCAACGCTCACCCCCGTGTAGTCCCGAGGAGCGAAAGGACCCCGATACATCACACTGAAGAGAGGTGATGGTTCGTCTTGGGCAGCTGTTAGGACGCAAACCAAGGACTCCTTACCGGTAGAGATTCACAGGGCATGTGCTTTCTTCACATCAAGTGACCTGTATTCACTCCGGCTTCATCTCTTGAAATAAACAAAAAAATACAAATTCATTTTAAATATTCCTTTATTCGCACAAATGGGGTTTCCAATTCAAATCCCTTTTGAAAATGCAATGTGGGGCTGCGTCTTGCATTACACACGACGAGTCGCTGTGAACACCAAGTAGGCGAGTGTGGATTGAAATATCGGACTACCGGCCTTCTTGACATGAGTTCAGCTGTGTACGTGGGTCTACAGAGGCCACACCTTGCCGATGAGACTGTGTGAAATCAATTGGGCCACGTTTTACCTCGTTGAACAAACGAATGCGACTGGAAAACGATCACGTGGAAGAATGACCTCTCGGCAATTCAAACAAATGAAACCTTTTTTTTTTAATGGAAAAAAAACATTGGTCAGTTTTTATTTTACAATCGCGGAAAAAGTTTTAAAACTTGTCATGTACACTGCTGGCAAATAAGGAGCTACACTTTGGAGATGACACCACAGGCTAATCTCCACCCTTACAGTTGCCTTGTCCGAGTAAAACACATTTTGTTCTTTTCGTCACGTGTACGACAATGCAGCGCAATTAAACCACAAAGTGAGCCTGAGGAATCTACTTGCAGATTACAAAGCCAAAAAGGCTATCATAAGGAATCAAAATGCATGCTAACAAGCTTCGCTCCCCGAGGGCACACAATCCGATCAAGTGTTGCCGTGGAGCATTATGGGTAAAAGCGTATACAAGTAAATTTACGTTTCTGTGAGTGGACATACAGATAAAAAATATATTTTTTGAGTCCATCAGCCTCAATCAGCATTTGTTGAAGCAAGCGACCTCTGCGACAGCTTTGAATCGTCCGGGTCTCATCGGCAAGAGCCAGGCTTGTTAAAACAAATGCTGCCGTTTTCAGTGGGGGGGGGGGTTTCCAGGCAATCAGAGAATGTGCACTGTCAGCGCGCCTTGTCACAGAGGGGGTTTTCGTGATCAACATCCCTGGACTGTACCAACGCGAGATTGTTTCCCACTCACCCGTTGGGGGGAGGTTTCGGTTTGGGCATTTTGCTGAGGATTGAGGCAATCTCCTTCTTCTCGTCGTAGCTCTGCCACACCTCGTACAGCTTGAGGATGGCTCGAGTTATTTCCAGGATCTGTTCGAAACGAAACGGCCACTGGGTGAGGTGCAGCAAACCGCACGTTGTCGTTCAAACGATGATCGTTCGGTCACCGCGTGCTTTCAGGTGCGCTTCTGCGGCCGTCCTGGAACGCTCTACCTTCTGATATTAGGAAGCCACTGGCGATATGCACGTTTAAATTTCGATTGACAACTCATTTCTTTCGAACTTTTTTTTTGTGTTTTGTTCGTTCTCCTTCCACCGGAAACCTCCGATTAGCACGGTTGGCTAGGCACCGTACAAAAGAAGTTCAACATACACACTTACATAACAAGGAATGTAAAACGCGTCTCAATGCCCAATTCACGAATACGAAGGAGGCATCACCACGGCGATCCACTCCGCTACTCCTGACGCAATCATCTGTGGTTCTTAACCTGGAGTGCACCGCACCCCCTGTGGGTGCGAGGCATTGACAGATTCTTTTTAAGAAGGTAAATCATCGAAACACAAATTTATCACGGGCATGTATGTACAACTACTTCAAATTTTGATTTAAAGCTTTCGTGACTGCAGCAATTCATATTCTTAGCTCTAATAATATATATTTTTATTTTATTGTTTCTCTTCAACGTGACTTTACCGAAAGAGCTAAGAATACAACTACTTTGTTTCATCAAACGCTATGTATTTATTAACATTACATACGTGGTTTTTTTTTACGATTGAGAACCAAAGTGGCGCAAGGCTGCAGTGAAGGTTAAAAACCAATGCTCGACATCAACAACATCGACTGCCATACGAAGAAGAGCGATGTTGGTTGCATGAACGATGCCATGTCAAACAAAACGATACATATCGCCGAAATAACTCGGGGAGGGAAGGGCGAGCCACCTTGTCCATGTCGACGGAGAGTTCCGCAAACCAGTGCCGACCATCGCGCAGCACCTCCTTCTGGTGCTCCTTGGGAGGCTCCTTCTGCTGGATGGCGCACGCCATGTGCAGGCTCGCTGGGCACGCGCACGGACACGCGCACACCGGTATATTACACACAAAAGACAAAAAATTCCCCCCGCCCCGTATATAGCCTTAACAGACTGTTGGGGCAAGTGCTGTTAAGCAAGCACCTGTGAAGGCGGGCACACGAGGGGGTGGGTGGCCAGCACCACGCACGGCCGCCTTCGTCTCCGCAGTCGCGAAGTTTACACACCGCACTAAATCATCCTCATGTAAGGACGAGTCGACCACGGGGAGGCCCAGGACCGGTTCCGATAATCGTCACTGGTCTTGGCCGAGAGTGGGAATCGAACTCTGGTTGCTGGGTGAGTAAGCGCAGCACACTATCTGCTGCACTACCGCTTCCCACTTACACACGGGTAGCATATTATGCACAAGTGCATGTGCCCGTGTGGAGCCCATCATCTCTCTGGGGTGGATAAAATAGGTCCGACTTGGTGGAAAAGTCAACGGCGGTTATGCAATGGATAAACTCACCCCCGCGATATTAATGTGGTCACATGGCACCGCACAGATTATTTAGATTTGGCTGCTATACATTTTCACATAAGCTACTTCGTTGAGCCATCATTTGTGACCAGGTTGCTTCTGAATAAGAAGCTAATAAAGCTCAGTGAGCTTTAAATGTTGATAGTTATTTGCTTACCTTTCCCAAACTTTGCAATCCTATCGTGTTTTGGCATTGTTTGTGGTTGTAACTTTCTGACCCGCCGCTACTGGACATCTGTGAAAAAGCTTAGATAGCTCATCGGATTCCTCCAGCATAAATGATTCCGAATTATCATTTTATTTAACATCAAATTGTAACACGCTGCCGCACACAGTATCAGCTCGCTGTCGAAGAGAGAGAACGACTCAACGACTCGTAGACGCCAGGAGGAGGAAAAAAAGGCAGGCAGGATAGGCAGCAACCACATGGTCAGCCGGCTCCGAATCCCAACCCCTCCTAAGCTCTGTGGTCCTCTCTATATTAAGTTGTTTTTGGTCAATGAATGTTTACATGAGCAGGAAACCACTTGACTGTGAGTGCGGATGTTCCAGCTGTGGGTCAACTATGTACAATCTCAGACTCATCATGGTGCACAGTGATGGTTCTTACCTAGTGCAATCATGAAGGGTGGATACATTAAACATAAATCAGTCCTGTATGTATCATTTACAATTTTCCTGCAAAGAGAAAACCAATACAACAGTGACAATCACCACAATAATAATTTAAACAATGCTGCTGCGTTTTTAGACATCCAAAACAATAATAAATATATATCTCAGATGACGAGCTCACTGATAATATCATCTGCACAACCAGTAGATGAACAACATGCAGTTATGCAGTTGCAGGTCATTCAACATATCTAACCGGGGCCTTCGATGGATTCACTCAAGGCCGACTGCTCTGAAGGATGGCATTACGTGTCCAAAGTTCTCACCCAAATCACACAGATCTCAGAATGGGGTAGCAGCAGTCCACTTAGGTTATAATCAGATAATATAAAATATATATACCCATTCAATTTTCCAACTGCGCTATCAGCGTCATGTCAAGAGAAAACGTTAAATTTTGATTTAAAGCTTTCGTGACTGCAGTAATTCATATTCTTAGCTCTTTCGGTAAAGTCACGTTGAAGGGAAACAATAAAATAATAAAATATATATAAATACATTTTCCTGCAAAGAGAATCTGATTGGTTGAATCTGATTGGTTGTCCCTTGCGATGAAGGAAGTCTCTGCTCAGGTCACCTGCTAACTCTGACTTTCTGGGCTCTCATTTTGAGGCCCTGGATCTTTTCCCCGCCGATTACGTTCGGCGAATTCACAAATTGAACGTTGTACCGATTCTGCTGAATTTGTTTGCGAGAACTGCCCTTCAAACTTTCCAGCGAGCTGAAATAATAATTGGCGCGTTAAAACACTTGCACACCACGCGACACTTTTAATTTGTTTGGCCGGGTTGGGTGGAGGAGGGCCCAGGACACGATGGTGACAACGCCTGAGCCACAAATCAACTTCCGATTCAAATCCGCCTTGGAAGTGGTGCACAAGTGACAAGAAAAGCTCACTTCCGTCAATAACGCTGCGGCCTTGAAAGGAAAACTATATAAGAGGTGACGTGTCGGGGTAAGGGGCTCTGAATGTAGAGCCCCTTACACCTGATGTCATTTACAATTAAAATGAGATGTTTGTTTGCGAGTAATCAGCTCGACACAGTTCAAAAGGAACTTTTTGGGGCGGGAGGATCCTACGAGAATATTTCCACCTTATCAAGACACAAACACCCCAACATCGCAAGTTGGGATGTAAACGGGGACAAGTACAAAACAGTAATTAACAAAAACGTCGGGAGTGTTTGCCTTCTTCGTAAAGAGGTTGTGTTGCGTCTCACCAGGCAATCTGCAGCAGCTGCTCGTCAGGCCCCATGTCGTGCACATATTGTGTAAGCGCCCGGTAAGGATGATACACAATCAAGCAGCAATCCTGGAGACAAGACACAAAGGCAAAGACACCCCACACATCAACACACATTCAACTATGTGTCACTTCTTACTCTCTTGTGCGTGCACACCGATGACGTCACACCACCTATTTAAGGCCGCACGCTAAATAAAATGTTCACATATCTGCCAATCACCTGATGATGCCGGTTGTAACTACCAGCCACACACCCAACTGTTTCATGCAGTGGATTGCTTTGCAACACAACACACCGGGCGGTGCTGTGGCAGCGATAAACTTACGGCACACGTTTATTAACATGACAACTATATTAATTGGCCGTGTCGGGTCGAGAAGGGTGTGCGTGTCAAATGTTTTATTTACGCGCTCAAACCCAAACACCTGTATTACGAATCAGATTGGTCGACAAAGCCTTTGTGTTGAACACCGTCCCATGAAACCACCCCTCCCGTGCTGTGGCCAGTGATGTTCATTGTGACAAGCAGAGGGTGGGAATTTCATACCCAGAAACCTTTGTCTTCCCATTGTTGTCAGCCGTATCAACAATGCAACGGCAAATTCATTTGGGCAGATTGCCATCGACTGGCAGTCAAGGCCAGATTCACATACGAATGTCCATTTAAGTGTTATCCATTGTTACTGGGGTATGCCACCACTCCCCACCGTTATAGCTTGTAACCAACTGTTGGGGCAAGTGCTGTTAGAGAGTACCCACAAAGACCGGCGCAGCACACGAGGGGGTGTGTGGCCAACACCAAGATCTGGCTGTCTTTCTCTCCCTCGTGGCGATGTTTACACATCACATTTAAGGCTGAGTCGACCTAGGGGAGGCCCAGGACCAGTTCAGATAATCGTCACTGGTGTTGGCCGTGAGTGGGAATCGAACCCGAGAACCAGGTTCGTAGCGCAGCGCGCTAATCGCTACATTACCGCTCCCCATCACACGCACACACCACAGGCAAGATATGCTCAGCTAAAAATCGTGTGTGTGTGTACGTACCATTAGCTCAAGTAGGTAAAATTCACATTCTAACACCTGCGAGGACAAAAAGAATGACCAGATTTAGCACGGCCGACAATTTTCAGTGCATCACAATATATCGAAAGCATTCAGAGGTAATATATTATAACCTTATATAAATATTGTTTTAAGTTTATCTTGGTGGCTCTGAATATGTATTTATTACTCAGGCATGAAATTACCCAGTCACTCAACTGCACAGCTATCATATTCTTGCGTATGGCAATGTGGTTCAGGAGCCCGATGCCAAACACGAGGTTCGATAGTCACGATGAGACCATCAGCGGGGTAGTTTGTGTAGTTTTGCAATTCCTCGAACATTGAAGAAGCGCTGACTACAGCGGTTTACTCCATGGTCCATTGTTTTTCTGGTCTTTAATTTTCATATTCGTTAAGATGTGCTAGTCGGCCTGCTGTTGAAATTCCCGACGCGATTGATGGTAGAAGCACACATCTATAGATAGTGGTGGTCTTGTGGTTTTTCTAAGTAATAACCTGGAAGTATATCGGGCCTACAGCCCCGTAAATGTTAAAATGTTGGGGTCCCCCCCCTTCCACACAACGTGTAAACGGGGTGCCCTCTGCTGTCACACGTGAATGACGAATAGCAGCCGAACTCCGTTCTGTCTCCGAATATGTAAATATAAAAAATGGCGTTTAGTCCATCAACCTCTTGGCTTTCCAGGCCAATATTATCATGCTAGCAATTGTTGTTGAATCGAACTCTTTGGACTGGTTTTGACCGTTTGAGTCTCGTCAACAGTCAGGCTTGGCAAAACAAATGCTTAAATGACAAGTGTTTATTGGCAAGGGCATTCCATATGAATTATAGAATGCCTTTGCAATCAAAATCATTATGAATTTCCCAAGAATATTAGGGGTAAAAGCAATTATAAGCGAAATGAAAACACTTACAAAATACATTAACTCATAACGCTTCTTCCAAATATGCTGGATCCAACATTGTACTGTGGGCAGCTCAATAACAATACTTAATTTCACGGGCAAGCCTCTATCCAACCTATATTACGATCCACAATGGAAACCAATTTACGGATCAAGTACGTCACCTGATGAATCCTCAACACAATGCATCGCAGCGAACAAAACGGAATTGGCATGACCATTTCGCAGCGGCCACGCTAATTCCGCATAAGCAAAAAACAGACGATCTCATCGGGCCCTCGGGTCACGTATCTATTTGTGTGCTCAAACAAGGGAATATAAATAGGCACTCAAAGCAGACTGATCATTTCAATAATGTACAAGGCATGGCCAGCTGCGACGGCTGCTTTCTCCACCTTCTCCTGATGCTCTTAGAACTCCTCACGACTCGCTGAACTCAGCTCCATCAGTCAGGGCAGCCGGCCCTGAATGAAGCCATCAAAGGCCCCGGTTAGATAAGTTAAAACGACCTGCAACGGTCTAACCGCATATGGTTTTTTTTATCTGCTGGTTGTGCAGGTGATATTCTCAGTCATCTGATTTTTTTTTTTATTATTGTTTTTGATGTCTGAAAACGCGGCAGCATGGTCTAAATATTTTTTTTTGTGGTGTTTATCGATGTTGTATTGGTTTTCTCTTTGCAGGAAAATTGTAAATGATACATACAGGACTGATTTATGTTTAATGTATCCACCCTTCAAGATTGCAGTAGGTAAGGACCATCATTGTGCACCACAGATCTCACAGTGTACATAGTTGACCCACAGCTGGAACATCGCACTCACAGTCAAGTGATTTCCTGCTCATGTAAACATTAATTGGCCAAAAACAACTTAATATAGAGAGGACCACAGAGCTTGGGGGGGGGGGTTGGGATTCGGAGCCGGCTGACCGCGTGGCTGCTGCCTATCCTGCCTGTAATTTGTTTCCTCCTCCTGGCGTCTCCGAGTCATTCTCTCTCTTCGACAGTGTATCCACCCTTCATGATTGCACGTGGTAAGAACCATCACTGCGCAACACGTCTCTCACAGTGTACAATCACACACTCGGCCCTGAGTGCAGGATCACTCATCGGCGTATTCTCCGGATTATAAGAGGCTGCTCCCAAGATTAACACGCACCCAAAACTTGTGCCCGGTGTCAATTAAGTTTTACAAACCTGCTCACGTACATCAACACCTACTGAATTATTGGATGCATGAGAGGTCTCTCTTATCATCTGAAAACTGAATTAGCGGCTAATTGTAAATAACACTTACATAAGCGGTCTCTTTGCTTTCTAGTCAATTTGTGCTGTTACCATAGTTTGAGCTCCAAGTCACACACACATTTTAAAGAGCTTCAGGCACAAGAGGCTATGGTTAGCACACCACGCTATAAACCTAGCAACATGAGATTGATTCCCGGCCATGGCTGTCATTAAATGGCAAATGGCATCTCAAACCTAAGACAGTTCTGGGTGATATCCCCTTACCAGCATAGTGTGGCACGGTCAAACGACCACCATGTATGTTTAACTGTATGAAAGAACTTCTTTCGCACCGTACGTGGCTGACCGCGCCAATCGGAGATGCCGCATCGCCAGTGCCACGCGCCACGACTGACGGCGCAGGGGATTGCAAAACGGCCGTCACAAACTCGCAACAAAATGACGCCGTCGGTGGAATGTTCGAGGGGGGCGATAACCGCCCCGAGTTGCCGCCACCATCAACGCACACTCGCCAACGCGCGCTCTCCCTTCGCGGTGCGACATCGCCGGCGCCACGCGCGGCTTGTTAATTTTAGCTCGGCGATTCCTCCTCGTAGGCGAGCCTTCGCGCACCGGCGATAATTAAATCCCCGGGCATGCCATCACCCGAACGCGTTTCGGCGCGCTGGCCAGGAATGTCGTGGCACGTTTGCAGCAACACGCAATTAATTAACCTCACTCCCCCCCCCCCCACCCAACCCCCCCCCGACCGGGCATACAGGCTCACAAAAGTTTGTTTACGAGCCGTTCTCTTTCCGATTCACTTCGGATCCGAAATAGTTTAAGGACCCTAAAAGATCGAGCGACTTCAATGATGGGATGATGCAAATGAGAAAACGTTACAGACCCAATGTGGCTCGGAGTCAAAAATTTGAAAATTTGAAAAAAATTACTTGTTAAAGTTACTGAATTTGGAAACTTTTAGCATTTGTCACCCAACTAATGCAAAAACTTGGCAGGACTCTCCTGAAAGGGTGCTGAGGCTGAGTCCGGGATAAACAAGAAATATTGAAAATATAACTCCTCTAAGCATCTACCAACACATACAAATCCTCACGATAATTGATAAGCAATACGTCTCAATAGCCGACCACGTGGTTATGATTAAAGAACAACTGAATGACATACTAGGATTGTGGATACATAATTATACAGCCACAGTTTATAATAAAATCATGAGACCGCAGAGGCCTAGCGGGGTATAACGAATCTAGATGGTGCTTGGATGGGTGGCCACCATACACGTACAGGTTGCCATGGGGCTGCAGTGCTATGTTGTAGGAATCAAGAGGGCAACGCAGCAAATTCCATTGTTGTACGGTCCTTCCATGCTTCCGCATATGTATGCTAACAGCCTTCACCAACCCGCAGTGATCAGCGTGGAGTGGTATGGTCAAATAACCCCCACAAAGCACACGGTGTGGGTGATGTCTTCATCCAGCAGTGGATTGACAAAAAAACTGGCCGTACACGTGTACTTGTCACCCACTGCTCGATGACGTTCTCCCCCGCACCGTCAGTCATGGGGGGTATTTGACCATACTTCACCACCGCTGGTCAGCGTGTGTGGGCGACAGAGAACCCAGGACCGGTTCAAATATCCCTCGCCGCTGACGATAGGTGCGGTTGGGAATACACGCTCAGGTCGGTTGGTTCCACAGTGCAGTGTGTAAACCACTGCGCCACCCATCCGCCACGCATGTATATCGCACGTGCGCTGCCATTCGACTAAAACGCTTACAATGGGAGATATATGCCCAAATTAGCAGGTGAATAAGTTATGCAAAATAAAGACGTGACGGGCAGTCATAACCAAGTCAAACATTCCACATGACGCTAACTTGGCACCTCTTTAATAAATAAAAATGAAGGACTTGCCGCGCACTCGTATGCCCTCGCCAAAGCCAAGTGTCCCGCTTTCAGAGAAAACATGCAATGGAAAATACCACCCGCGCAAACGCTAGGCCTCCACGTCACGGCTACGCGAGTTCAACATGTTGACCAGGCGGTGGAAATCTTGATAGGCAGCCCAACGCAAAAAAGCAGACACGCTTGGGCTGTGCGGAATAGCCGGCCGGCGGTGGCTAACGCTGCACGTGGCAGTCTGTAAAGCCAGCGCTGTGGAGGCAGTGAGGGTTGGCGGACCGCACAAACATTGCGAAACTCCCCTCCCCGTGGGTGTCAAAGTGCTGTGCCCTGGCTCGTAAAGAAAAGGCAGTAGAGCAAAGTGGAATAATATCCCATTAATTTCTATCTGTATAGGAATAGAGCGTTGTCGCACGGGTGAGTTTACTCCGGGTGCTCCGGTTTTCCTCTCAAATGTATCAACAATCAAAATTACCTGGCTGAAAAAAATATTAAATACCCCATGTAGCAAGACCCTCCTGACAAAGGAATCATTGGAATCAGTGTGGCTTCCCAGGATAATTATGGACTATTCTCATGCCGCGTTGCTGTGCGTTTTATTAACCGCTCACACTTCACGCTCTGTTCTGAGTGCAGCACTTTCATAAGGGGAGTCGCTGCCCGGAACTCGTTAACTCGACGGGTCCTGAAAGACCAGTAATGACACACTGGGGTCTGAACACTGGCAGAGTATAAAAACCAGAAAGCGGCAGATGAAGGATGGCGAGATGGATCACAATGGACAACAATAATTTAAATTCGTCACACATCCTGCATAGCAATCCGCCCACCATCAAAGAGAGAGAGAACTGCTCAGAGAAGAGGTGTAGTCTGTCAACAATTACTAGGAGCTGGGAGTGGCAGTGATCAAAACACTACCCTGTGTGTCCACGTGGTCGACCTTAACATGTGCTCACTAATGAAACATGCACGCAATCATAATTTTAACTTGCAACGTGGACAGTGTTCGCTCACTCTCCGAGAAAGAGAGAACGGCTCACAGGCACGACGAGGAATGAGAGACAAGTTGGGAGGCAGTAGCCAGGTGGTGAGCCACAACTACCACCAATTGCTCAAACTCTGCGGTCCTCCAAATATAAAGATATTTTTAGCAAAGTTAACCGCAGTAGTCCCCTCGGTTACCGCTTTCAATCCGTTCCACGAAAACCACTGTTCACCGAAATAAATGTTAATCGAATGTAGGAATTACATGCGTCTGCAAGAGAGCCGTTTCCACTGCCAAAATAGAAAACGTAATGCAACAAAGCCAGTGGAGGTCTAAATGCTCACAGATGGGCGTCGCTAATTGGCTCAGTCCACAAACGAGCGCTCGGATTCGCCGAAATTGGCACCCGCGTGCATAACGTAAACAAATACAGTAAACCTTAATTTTAACGTTAGTCAAAACCATGGGGTGCTGTGGGAGCCGAAAACGTGAACCAATGTCACTGTTAACCGCGGGACTACCATAGTATTTACACGTGTCGGAGGAAACAGGAGCCGCCTGGAAAAAAAACCCAACGCGTGCGTTAATAGACGGACAAAGGGAGGCGAGAGAGATGTTCCCACCCCTTCTCAGACAAGTTGAAATAAAGTCGATGGCTATGAAATGTCGAAATATATGCGTGGAAATCCAGAGGAAAGATTGAAATGGACGCGGAGGCCACCAGGGCACGACCCCGGGTGTGGCTCGTTTGTGCAAGTGGGAGGGGGGTAAGAAAGAGGTATAAGAACTCAGTGAATTGATACATCGGTACAATGCAACCTTGCTTAATAAATTCTTACTGGGAACATGAATCTCTACTAAGGCCTATAGAGTCCAATAAAAAAAACCCTCGCATGTTTTTAAGTAATCTGCTCCAATACAGACGAAAACAACAAAAACACCTCTAAAAATAAATACTCACGTGATTGACTCGGAAAGGGAAGTCTTTTGAAAACGCGTAAGAGAACTTGTTTTTGACTGGGTGTTGGGGAAGAAAAGAAAAACAGAATCAGGTATATAAACAGAGACAAAGATCCCCCATGTAGCCTTGACAGGCTGTTTGGGGCAAGTGCTGTTAGCGAGCAGCTTTGAAGGCTGGAACGGCACCACCACGCCTGCCCGCCTGTCTCCCCAGTGGCGATATTTGCACACCGTACCAGGTACTCAATTGAGGCTGAGTCTACCTAGGGCAGGCCCAGGACCGGTTCAGATAATCGTCACTGGTGTTGTCCGTGAGTGAAAATCGAACTGGGGCCACCGGGTTCGAAGTGCAGCGCGCAAACCACTACACCACCGTTCTCCATATATATACATACACACACGCTGCAAAAAATGCTAGAGGCTTGATGAACATCAGTGAGCAAAGGGCATGCTCAGTGGCGATGCGAAATAAAATTTCCATTGTTAAATTATAAAAAAAAAGGCTTGACCCTTTCTGGCATAAATAGAGGTGTTTAGATGTTCAAACACCAAACAGACACCTTTAACAAAGGCATAGAGTCTGCATTAACCACACATACTTGTGGTAAAAGAAATGCAAATATACTTTCATAATGTATTCACTGTCCTCGAAACAGATTGGCCTATACCAGAAACAGCCTCTTTTATGGCTGTCTCACCAGTGCAAGGCCAAATACTGCAAAAAAGGCGATCACAGTACTAGTACAATGCCAACACCAACATACGATTGTTTTTAACCTCGTATTCACGCCGCTCGTTTTATAACTACTAATATCATCGAGGCAGGCGTGGGCATCAACGCACCCGACAAGACTGTCACACGTTTACTGATCAAATTATGAACCAATAAATCTGCCCCATAACCAGTGGGATTGAGACTTTTCCCGACTGAATTCCACATCAACATACCCGATGTTGTTTATGCTCCAAGCTGCTTCGAGCTTCGTTGGGTAGTGACAGCTCGGATATTAAGTCGTAATAGTAGCAAGATTGTTATCGTCGTATGTATATATGTACGTTGAACTTCTTTCGCACCATTACGTAGCCAACCGTGCTAATCAGTCGGCTACGTAAAGTCTCCAACTCACGTTTACTCTTCTCTCTGGCCTCTATATATATGTGATGGGCAACTGTCCAAAACGTTGCCTATTTTATATATATTTCCTATAAAGGCCAGTGTTATAATTATACATGAGGGTCTAATTTCAGATTATCCTAGCTTTGCTTATTGAAGGAATAAGTCAATGGTTTGACATATTCACAAATCTGAATGCACCATCGCCATCCCACCATGGATGAATAAGTCAATTCATCAGAGTACATCCGACACTCGTATTTTGAGCGTTTCTGCTGCACGGAGAAAGGTGCACAAACGACAGTAACACGCTACGGACAAGTGCACAAATCACTTCATGAGCATACCCAACGACTACTCAAGGGATTAAACGTCTTCCGAAATGTACATCCAAAACTCATGGGAGTTGCCCATCAGCCAAATGTCTGAAGGTGCCCTGAGAGGTCATTGTCTATTTTCGAACAGTTCAGTCAGAGGTCATCGCAGACAGCTCGAGACTTACACACGGTCGAGGCGGCTGTGATGAGGCGACTATTCGATATAACTCCAAATTCCTGTAAAGACATACACGCAAAAAACTAATTCGTTACACAAAAACTAAGTGCGCGTGCACGCACACTGTGGAAATTGTAACGCTTAAATTATGTTTAAACTGTTAATGGAAAGGAACAAATGACAGTAGAAGCCCCCTCCTCTTAGCCAATGTAATTGGTTCCAAGAAACCAGTCGTTCAGTGATCTGGCCAAGCGAGAATAGGAAATATATGTTAAAGGCTTGATTCGTTCCAACAGCATCGAAAGTTATTAGTTTTCACCCAAAAAACGTACTTTATAATATTTAAACAATGGATGTTAATACATAAAGAACTAACAACATTATGAACAAATAATAATCAAACATGGTTAATCAATTAATTAACTAATAATTACTGTACTGACAACATCCCATCATTAACAGGGGAATGGTCGGTAAGTGAACACACTGGGCTCCATGGAGGCACTACACTATACACTACTATACACTATACTATACACTACTATACGCTATACTACTATACACTACTATGAACTACACTACTATACACTACACATTGGGCTCTATGGAGGCCCGTCGTTAAGCGATTAGTCGTTAACAGAGGTGGTCGTAAAGAGGGTTTTCAACTGTGTACAAAAATATATTTGACCATTGAGAAAGCGCTCAAATTATGACAAGTTTAAGAAGGCTATTGAAAGAGTTATTGTATTGCAAGTGGGAAACCTAAATGTAAGGGAGCCAGTAAAACTGAACGTGAAATCGAGAAAAACTGTAGGATAAGTGAAGGCTATTTCATACCATATATATGTAATAAAATGCTTTTTCTTGCATAACGTTTCAATGATAGGCTCTGCGTGTTGCAGTGGTTGTGACAGTTTTGGACGTGGTGCATAATGCTGTTAATGCTGCTCAATCTGCCCAACTCATGGTTCTTGGTTTAAATATTTTATTTTATTTACAAACCCTTTTCACAGAAGATCTCAAAGCGCTGTACAAGACAGCAGGCACTTAGTTTGACAATACCTCATGAAACAACAAAGAAATGGCAAACTATCATAAAAGAAATACTGAAAGCCATTTGCTGAATTAGTTAATCATTGAATAAACGGAAGTGTAGAGACAAGGTTAAAGACGAGTGTTAATAATGTCCACAGACTTGAAGATCCTGGATATCTCGTAGGAGAGAGTTCTGGAGTCTGGGCGCTACACGGGAAAAAAGCTCGGTCACCCATCAACCAAAGCCTCTATGACTGGGGATGCATAAAAGGTCTGCATCCCCAGATCTTAATGCCTTGAAGGGACCTATGGGTGTAGCCACATGTCTAATGATGTAAGCTGCGGACAGGGAGTTCAGAGCTATGTAGTTTAGCAATAGCTTATTAAACTGAATCTTATGGGAAACTGGAAGCCAGTTACATTGTTATATTTCTTTTTTTTTAATTCTCTCTTTTTGTTTTCTGATTGATAAATGGGTGGCAATGTCCAGCATCTGAAAATTATTTACAGATAAATTCAAAATATGAGATTAAAACATGTTTTTATTAATTACACTGCAAGTCTGTTGGGACAAAATGGCAATATTGCAAAATGTACTCACCTCCACTTTTGAGGCCAGAAACACGCATGTAGGAGCCATCAGCACAGGATCTATACATTGTAGGGAATACCTGTACAAAGACACAGATTCCCCCCCCATCAGATTTTTAAGACTGATGGCTATTAGCGAGCACCAGCTCAAGGAAGGAAGACACATGATGAGGTGGTGTGGTAGTGTTCGTCAGCTCAACTGCAGCAAGGTTTAAACGCAGGTTACCTGAAATGTTGCATAGTGGTGCAACACACAAATATTTAAAAGCTATCATTACTCAGATTAAAATGGCATTACACAATTTTATTTGTCTTGGAATGCACAACTATGACATGTTAAATGTCGCCCCACATATAGTCTGGCTTGGGAAGTTTTTTTTTTCTTGCTGTGCAATAAACTGCCTGCAGCGAAAGTATATGAGATTTACAAAATTCTATGGAAATGCTCAAGACTAATGTCTTCATGCCTAAGGTAATCTAGGATGCAGAAGTGGGGTACAGTGGTGGAGACGTTAACTACCTCGCCTGGTATACAGGAGGTCGTGCATTCCATCCTGACCATGATGCATGAATATTTGGAGTTTGCATGTTCTCCCCATGGATGAGCGGATTTTGCTCCGGGTCCTCCAGTTTTTCCCACCACATTCAGAACCATGTGTTTATAGAGTATTTGGCTGCTATACATTTCCACGTGATAAGAAAATTTATCGGTCTACCATTTGCGGCCCGTGTGGCTGGGCACCATTGTTATTTTGTACAAAACATGACTGAAGATTTTCACTGGTTGCACAGAGGTTGTTAAATTGACCACACAGTTGCCTCTATTCAAGAAACAGTAAACAAACGTTTTCTTTCGGAAATGTGCGCCTCCACGGGTTGCAAGAAGAGCGTACCTCGCGTAGAATCGCTTGAAGTAAACAGTGGCCGTCGCTATGACTTGTTGCCTGAGTTTTAGTTGCTCACCCAACGCTTGGATAACTGCAGACAAGGAAACAAACGAGTCGTTACAATGCATCATCACGGGCCTGTCTTATACAATCCGGCATCTGCGTCCATTTAAAAAAAAATCTTTCAAATCTGTGCCTTTTGAGAACTGTGGGACATTTAGCATGGTTGAATATGGGGAAACGTGCTGTTAAGTAGGAATCCGGACATGGGAAAGTGGACGGAATGCACTGCTCATCAAGTGGTACAATGTTATCGACCAGTGCTGACCACAACGTATTGCGCAACTTATTTATGTTGACCCAACACTGGGGGTAGGCACAGGTCAGTTTTTAGATACCATTTGGCCAGGAACTGCAGGGTGTCTGAGATTGCTAATTGCTGAATATAAACAAATGCCACTCAAGACCAACAAAATAAACCAAAACTACACAGGCTTCATTGTTGACGTAACCCATTGCTGCCACATCATTAACTACTTTAGGTAGTGGTTCTGCTTGGCAAGATATAGGTACACAATGAATACAAAAAGGTTCCACTGGTATAGAACCAGTTTCCATTGTCAAAAAAATATGCAGTTTTATGTCTGTGCCGTTGCATGTACCAGTCTTAATAGGTGCTCGCTAACAGCACTTGCCCCAACAGTATGTTAAGGATATATGGGAGATATTTGTCTTTGTACTCCCATCAAGCGGTAATGTAGTGGTAATGTACAGTGAGGCAAAAAAGTATTTGATCCCCTGCTGATTTTTAACGTTTGCCCACTGACAAAGAAATTATGAGTCTATAATTTTAATGGTAGGTTTATTTGAACAGTGAGAGACAGAATAACAACAAGAAAATCCTGAAAAACGCATGTCAAAAATGTTATAAATTGATTTGCATTCTAATGAGAAAAATAAGTATTTGACCCCCTCTCAATCAGAAAGATTTCTGGCTCCCAGGTTTCTTTTATACAAGTAACGAGCTGAGATTAGGAGTACACTCTTAAAGGGAGTGCTCCTAATCTCAGCTTGATACCTATATAAAAGACACCTGTCCACAGACGCAATCAATCAGATTCCAAACTCTCCACCATGGCCAAGACCAAAGAGCTCTCCAAGGATGTCAGGGACAAGATTTTAGACCTACACAAGGCTGGAATGGGCTACAAGACCATTGCCAAGCAGCTTGGTGAGAAGGTGTCAACAGTTGGTGCGATTATTCGCAAATGGAAGAAACATAAAAGAACTGTTAATCTCCCTCGGCCTGGGGCTCCATGCAAGATCTCACATCGTGGAGTTGCAATGGTGAGGAATCAGCCCAGAACTACACGGGAGGATCTTGTCAATGATCTCAAGGCAGCTGGGACCATAGTCACCAAGAAAACAATTGGTAACCCCACTACGCCGTGAAGGACTGAAATCCTGCAGCGCCCGCAAGGTCCCCCTGCTCATGAAAGCACATATACATGCCCGTCTGCAGTTTGCCAATGAACATCTGAATGATTCAGAGGACAACTGGGTGAAAGTGTTGTGGTCAGACGAGACCAAAATGGAGCTCTTTGGCATCAACTCAACTCGCCGTGTTTGGAGGAGGAATGCTGCCTATGACCCCAAGAACACCATCCCCACCATCAAACATGGAGGTGGAAACATTATGCTTTGGGGGTGTTTTTCTAAGGGGACAGGACAACTTCACCGCATTAAAGGGACGATGGGCGGGGCCATGTACCGTCAAATCTTGGGTGAGAACCTCCTTCCCTCAGCCAGCGCATTGAAAATGGGTCGTGGATGGGTATTCCAGCATGACAATGACCCAAAACACACGGCCAAGGCAACAAAGGAGTGGCTCAAGAAAAAGCACATTAAGGTCCTGGAGTGGCCTAGCCAGTCTCCAGACCTTAATCCCATAGAAAATCTGTGGAGGGAGCTGAAGGTTCGAGTTGCCCAACATCAGCCTCGAAACCTTAATTTTGATTTAAAGCTTTCGTGACTGCAGGGATTCATATTCTTGGTTCTTTCGGTAAAGTCACATAGAAGGGAAACAATAAAATAATGAAAATATAAAACAAGTACTAAGTCATGTTTTGCAGAGGGGGTCAAATACTTATTTCCCTCATTAAAATGCAAATCAATTTATAACATTTTTGACATGCGTTTTTCTGGATTTTTGTTGTTGTTATTCTGTCTCTCACTGTTCAAATAAACCTACCATTAAAATTGTAGACTTATAATTTATTTGTCAGTGGGCAAACGTACAAAATCAGCAGGGGATCAAATACTTTTTCCCTCACTGTAGTGGTTATGCACTGCGCCACAAACGCAGTGAGCCGGTCCTGTTCCTCGACCAGGTCGACTCAGCCTTTAATTAGTATCTGGTGCAGTGTGTACACATCAGCACGGGGGAGACACAGGCATCTGGGCGGGGTGCTGGCCACTCCCCTGCCGTGTGCCAGCCTTGATAGATCTTCCGTAATGGTATGTTAAAGGCTGTATGGTGGATCTTTGTCTTTTAATTCCCACATCTTCCAAAATGCTAAACCAAAGTAAAACAGTCGGCCAAATATCCTGTAGAGCGGCTCTCTAGAGCCCCATCCAGTCGTGTGAGCATCAAATGTCAGGGCTACACAAAATAGTCTTCCCATTTTGACGAGCGTATCCCTAAATATGTTCCCCACAATGTGGTGTCATAGGCTACCATTCGCAAAGAAGATATGTATCTTCCAGTATTCTTCTTCAGTGAGGTTCTTCAAGTCTTTCTGTCGCTCCTTCATGATGTCCTGTTTGTCCAGTATCCATTGATGGCTGAAGACGATGCATCCACACAAACACACCTCCGATTAGCACGATTGGCTGTGTACGGTGCGAAAGAAATTCAACAAACGACGTGCTCATAGATTTTTTTGTTAACTGATCACGCATTCTCTAGTCAGCTCCAGCAACACGACTTTAATGGACTCCGCGGAATTTATTGCAACAACCTCCACCTAACGTGGGGTCAAGCTGTTTCAACCTCAATGCCCATTCCCACTTAAAAGTCGCCTTTAATTTTTATCCAAACCAAACCTTTTACACAAAGGTTAATTCGTGAATACATTGGCCGATATTGAGACGTGCGATAACGTCATGCAAATCTTAAAATCGCGTTCCATTCATAATTAAACAAGCATTAATAATGCATGGAACGCAGGCAATATTGCAGCATGCTATAACCCAGCCGTTGTAGATTTACATCCACTACTGACAATGCAACAGACAATATAAAGATATAGTTTTTTTTGGGTTAGATCGCGTAAATATATAAATGTGTCGTTAAACCCGCCACCACCCGACACAGCCAATAAGTGAGGTTTGTCACGTAAACAGAACGTGGCCAATTCGTTACCAGTACAGCACACCTGTGTGTTGGGTGGTGGCGGGTTTAACGACACCTATCTATTGACGCAATCTAACGCAAAAAAAACCCCTGTAGTGTGGATTTGGTCGCTAAATCCAACGTGTGAAACCAATATAAAGAGTGAAACCAATATAAAGATACACTGATCATGTTTGGGCACTATACAACGCAGGGCTGTGTTAACAGGGCCTCGCTTAGTCATCAGAACATTGATGCCTCCCGGAGGAATCCGATTAGCTACAAAGCTCTTGTTTTTCTTTCTCCCCACACACACACACACGTCCAGTCATGATCATAACACCAAAGCGAGCGGCGATTTGTGCCGATGGCGAACAGGCGTGTGGAGGGCATCTATTGTCAGTCAGACCACGGCCCTGGAGAGATAAAGACGCTGGAAGCGATTAGCGGCCACAAACACAGCGAGGCCCTCGACACCGAAACGTCTCCACCCACCGGCCTCGGCCGGCCGCCACGCACGCCGTCACAAAGCGCGAGGAATGAAGAGTTAACGCCGTCCCAAGTGACACCGAGACTGTTTAGAACGTGCGAAGGGCGCCCGGGGTGTTGGCCAAAGGGCCTCTAGGAGCGAGCGCGCAAGCGTGGCGGTCACCTCGACTTTCCCCTCTTAAAAGCCCTCACGTGGATGCGGCGCTTAAGCGGCCTGCCCAGCCTGGACGTGCCCGGGCGCTTGGGCGCGCACCGAGACGGACCCGGGGCTGAGCGGGGGACGCGGCCTGGTCGCGGCACTGCAGCCTGAGTTGGCCGCCGAATAGGGCGCGCTAAGTGCGGCGCGGATCCAGCCCAGACCGTGGAGGGGGGCGCGGTGAGCGAGTGAGCAACTTTGAAGTCAACGGGGTGGTGGGGGGGGAGGTGTTGGTAACGACTTACAAGTGAGAGCTCTGCCAGAAGTTACCGGACATGGTGTCGCGGTGGCTGGAGCGAAGGGCGTGGGTGCGAGTGGCGAGCGAGCGCGACGAGACATGAGCCGAGCCAGCAGCCGAGGTGGGGGGGGGGGTGAGAGAGAGAGACGCGGCGACGGCTGTGAGGCGGCTGTGGCTGTGGTGGTTGTGGTTAGCGACAGCGGCGGCTTCTGTGTCCGCCACCTCGTGCAGCGCGGCCAACACTGCCCGCCGCCGTTCCCTGATTGGCCCGCCCGCGTAACCACGCGAGGGCGTTCGAGCCAGTGAGACGTTCGCAGGGGGGGGGGCGGGGCACGAAGCGCGGCGCTCATTGGTTGAGGACGACGATGACGACGACAGAAAACCACCCCGCCCGGAGCGCGCTTCCCCGCCTCGCCCATCTTTGTGCGGTTGGATCACCGGCGTGACGTCATACCGCGACGGCGTCGGTCATGTTGGTAAACAAAGAGACTGAACAAAGAGATAATGACGCCATGTATCTGTCGATCTATTGCTACTTATTACAACTAAATTAAGTGGACTTAAATTTCCTTTTAAAGCTTTCGTGACTGCAGGGATTCATATTCTTGGTTCTTTCGGTAATTTTGTTTTATATATATTTTATTATTTTATTGTTTCCCTTCAACGTGACTTTACCGAAAGATCCAAGAATATGAATATCTTTCGGTAAAGTCACGTAGAAGGGAAACAATAAAATAATAAAAATATAAAACAATGAAATTCTCACGACGTTTAGACTACAACACAAGCAATCATCATCAGGTGTGAAAACCACAGCAAGATAATTAGAAAAAAGTATTATTTTATTGTTTCCCTTCTACGTGACTTTACCGAAAGAACCAAGAATATAATAGAATTCTCACTATTTGTATTATTTTATTATTTCCCTTTTAAGTGGACTTGGTCTTATTTTTACACTTCTCCATAAAATCACAAGGCCTTCGAGGAAGTGCACAATCGCATCAGTGTGTCGTCGATACCAGGAAAACTCTGAACGGAGTCGAGAAGCCTTATTATTCACAATTCTGGGAAATCGCCTGATGAAGCTGGTTGTTGTAAAGCAGCAGCGAAACGTTGTAGTCGAATAGTTAATGTTGTGGATTTACTCTCCAACACAACGGTGTGCTGAAGTAGTAACTAATTGTTTACGTGATAAATGTGGCTAATTGGTGGTGGTGGTGGGTTAACGAAACATTTACGCGATCTAACCCCAGAAAACCAGACTGTATTATGGATATCGTTCGTGCAAATCGACGCTTTAAAGAGGGGCGTGAAGGGTGTCGATATACCGTGTTCTTTCAGCCATCTTTGTAAGGGGTATAAGGCGTTGTTGTCTATGTACAATGACGTCATAGACTTTGTTTCTATCTTTGGCGATCTTTGTCAGGGTTATAGGCGTTGTAGATGTCTGTGTACGATCAGGCCATAGACTTTTTTTTCTCCCTTCAGCCATCTTTGTGAGGGGTATGGGCGTTGTAGATGTATATGCACGATGACGTCATATACATTTTCTCTTCAGCCATCTTTGTAAGGAGTGTTGGCGTTGAAGTTGTCTATGTACGATGACGTCATATTTTTTTTATTTTAGCCATCTTTATATTCTTGGTTCTTTCGGTAAAGTCACGTAGAAGGGAAACAATAAAATAATAAAAATATAAAGCAATAACATTCTCACGACGTTTCGACTGCAACACAAGCAATCATCATCAGGTGTGAAAACCACAACAAGAAATAATGGTTTTCACACCTGATGATGATTGCTTGTGTTGCAGTTGAAACGTCGTGAGAATTTTATTGTTTTATATTTTTTTATTATTCTATTGTTTCCCTTCTACGTGGTGACTTTACCGAAAGAACCAAGAATATGAATCCCTGCAGTCACGAAAGCTTTAAAACAAAATGTAGCCATCTTTGTTAGGGGTCTCGAGTGAACGCTGACGGAAACCCGACGTCACGCAGCGGCGTTAGCCAATCAGCGCGAGCTCCGCCTTGCAAGCAGTGGGCGCCACGTGCTCACTCCGTTACCGTATTCTCCAGACTAAAAGTTCCCGCATTCTGCACAACGCTCGTCTCGTTGCGCTTCGGACTGCGACTTATAATCCGGTTTACACGACACGATCACGTTCGGAGAATCTAATTGCACGCAGGATATCTCGCGGAGGGGCAGATACGCGAAGAGGCGGAGACAGTCCTGCCCGCCTGAAATCCGACACGTCCAGAAGTTTGTAAGAACTTGATTGGACAATCAAACCAGGAACGCGTTTGAGGACGCGTCTTACTTTCCCGATCGTCTCCTCTAAGTCAGAGCATACGGTACCAACACACACACACACGCACACGTGTTCCCCGAATGGATGTTTAACAGGCTGTTGGGGCGAGTGTTGTTCGCAATTAGCGCCGATTAAGGCCAGCACCACACCCGACCGCCTTTGTCTCCCCCAGTGCTGATGCTTTAAACGCACCAACACCCCAAGTCTTGAGTCGACCTCGCGGACGAGGAATGCGCAGCCAAGGAGCGAGATCGAACATTTGATCGGGAATCGAACTTGGGCGTTATTCCTTTTTATTTCGCCGGGTTTCGGAGCGCGTTGGAGCGCTAACCCGAGCGCCACCGCTCCCTCTTGGCGACCCACGGCAGACAAGAGTGGTTGCGAATTGCACGGGACGCGTGTTGGTTTCACGCGTTCGGCAAACGCACGGCGCGTGCGGTGATTGGCGTGCGTCGCCGGTCCACACAGTGACAGATGTATGTGGTCGTATGTTGAACTTCTTCCGCACCGTACGTAGCCAACCATGCTGATCGGAGGTGCGGGGGAAAGTCAACAAACTTGGATACAAAAAGCCGGTCTGAAGACATGAGTCTTCAATCTCGACACACATTGACAGGAACAAAGACAAAGATCCCCCGTATAGCCTTAACAGACTGTAGGGGCAAGTGCTGTTAGCGAGCACCTATGAAGGCCGGTAACGGTACACGAGGGGGTGGGTGGCCAGCACCACGCCCGACCGCCTTAGTCTCCCTAGTGGCAATGTTTGCACACCGCACCAGGTACTCATTTGAGGCTGAGTCGACCTAGGGGAGGCCCAGGACCGGTTCAGATAATCGTCACTGGTGTTGGCCGTGAGCGGGAATCGAACCCGGGTCGCCAGGTGCATAGCGCAGCGCGCTTACCACTACACCACCGTTCCCCAGAAGACATTGAGTCTTCAATCTCGACACACATTAACAGGAACACACACCGTGACAGATACAGTCCCGTTGTAACGCAGCGCGTCTCTGGAATGCAGTTACATGGTGACACACTGACACAGTGACAGATACATGGTGACACACTGACACACAGTGACAGATACATGGTGACACACTGACACACAGTGACAGTTACATGGTGACACACTGACACACAGTGACAGATACATGGTGACACACTGACACACAGTGACAGTTACATGGTGACACACTGACACACAGTGACAGATACATGGTGACACACTGACACACAGTGACAGATACATGGTGACACACTGACACACAGTGACAGATACATAGTGACATACTGACACAGTGACAGATACATGGTGACACACTGACACACAGTGACAGATACATGGTGACACACTGACACACAGTGACAGTTACATGGTGACACACTGACACACAGTGACAGATACATGGTGACACACTGACACACAGTGACAGATACATGGTGACACACTGACACACAGTGACAGATACATAGTGACATACTGACACGCAGTGACAGATTACATGGTGACACACTGACACACAGTGACAGATACATGGTGACACACTGACACACAGTGACAGATACATGGTGACACACTGACACACAGTGACAGATACATGGTGACACACTGACACACAGTGACAGATACATGGTGACACACTGACACACAGTGACAGATACATAGTGACATACTGACACGCAGTGACAGATACATGGTGACACACTGACACACAGTGACAGATACATGGTGACACACTGACACACAGTGACAGTTACATGGTGACACACTGACACACAGTGACAGATACATGGTGACACACTGACACACAGTGACAGATACATGGTGACACACTGACACACAGTGACAGATACATAGTGACATACTGACACGCAGTGACAGATACATGGTGACACACTGACACACAGTGACAGATACATGGTGACACACTGACACACAGTGACAGATACATGGTGACACACTGACACACAGTGACAGATACATGGTGACACACTGACACACAGTGACAGATACATGGTGACACACTGACACACAGTGACAGATACATAGTGACATACTGACACGCAGTGACAGATACATGGTGACACACTGACACACAGTGACAGATACATGGTGACACACTGACACACAGTGACAGATACATGGTGACACACTGACACACAGTGACAGATACATGGTGACACACTGACACGCAGTGACAGATACATGGTGACACACTGACACACAGTGACAGATACATGGTGACACACTGACACACAGTGACAGATACATGGTGACACACTGACACACAGTGACAGATACATGGTGACACACTGACACACAGTGACAGATACATGGTGACACACTGACACACAGTGACAGATACGTGGTGACACACTGACACAGTGACAGATACATAGTGACACACTGACACACAGTGACAGATACATGGTGACACACTGACACACAGTGACAGATACATAGTGACACTGACACACAGTGACAGATACATGGTGACACACTGACACACAGTGACAGATACATGGTGACACACTGACACACAGTGACAGATACATGGTGACACACTGACACACAGTGACAGATACATAGTGACACTGACACACAGTGACAGATACATGGTGACACACTGACACACAGTGACAGATACATGGTGACACACTGACACACAGTGACAGATACATGGTGACACACTGACACACAGTGACAGATACATGGTGACACACTGACACACAGTGACAGATACATGGTGACACACTGACACACAGTGACAGATACATGGTGACACACTGACCACAGTGACAGATACATAGTGACACACTGACACAGTGACAGATACATAGTGACACACTGACACACAGTGACAGATACATGGTGACACACTGACACACAGTGACAGATACATGGTGACACACTGACACACAGTGACAGATACATGGTGACACCTTGACACACAGTGACAGATACATAGTGACACACTGACACACAGTGACAGATACATGGTGACACACTGACACACAGTGACAGATACATAGTGACACCTTGACACACAGTGACAGATACATGGTGACACACTGACACACAGTGACAGATACATGGTGACACACTGACACACAGTGACAGATACATGGTGACACACTGACACACAGTGACAGATACATGGTGACACACTGACACACAGTGACAGATACATGGTGACACACTGACACACAGTGACAGATACATGGTGACACACTGACACAGTGACAGATACATAGTGACACACTGACACACAGTGACAGATACATGGTGACACACTGACACACAGTGACAGATACATGGTGACACACTGACACACAGTGACAGATACATGGTGACACACTGACACAGTGACAGATACATAGTGACACACTGACACAGTGACAGATACATAGTGACACACTGACACACAGTGACAGATACATGGTGACACACTGACACACAGTGACAGATACATGGTGACACACTGACACACAGTGACAGATACATGGTGACACCTTGACACACAGTGACAGATACATAGTGACACACTGACACACAGTGACAGATACATGGTGACACACTGACACACAGTGACAGATACATGGTGACACACTGACACACAGTGACAGATACATGGTGACACACTGACACACAGTGACAGATACATGGTGACACACTGACACACAGTGACAGATTACATGGTGACACACTGACACACAGTGACAGATACATGGTGACACACTGACACACAGTGACAGATACATGGTGACACACTGACACACAGTGACAGATACATAGTGACACACTGACCACAGTGACAGATACATAGTGACACACTGACACACAGTGACAGATACATGGTGACACACTGACACACAGTGACAGATACATGGTGACACACTGACACACAGTGACAGATACATGGTGACACACTTGACACACAGTGACAGATACATAGTGACACACTGACACACAGTGACAGATACATGGTGACACACTGACACACAGTGACAGATACATAGTGACACCTTGACACACAGTGACAGATACATGGTGACACACTGACACACAGTGACAGATACATGGTGACACACTGACACACAGTGACAGATACATGGTGACACACTGACACACAGTGACAGATACATGGTGACACACTGACACAGTGACAGATACATGGTGACACACTGACACACAGTGACAGATACATAGTGACACACTGACACACAGTGACAGATACATGGTGACACACTGACACACAGTGACAGATACATGGTGACACACTGACACAGTGACAGATACATGGTGACACACTGACACAGTGACAGATGCATGGTGACACACTGACACACAGTGACAGATACATAGTGACACACTGACACACAGTGATAGTTACATGGTGACACACTGACACACATTGACAGATACATGGTGACACACTGACACACAGTGACAGATACATGGTGACACACTGACACACAGTGACAGATACATGGTGACACACTGACACACAGTGACAGATACATGGTGACACACTGACACACAGTGACAGATACATGGTGACACACTGACACACAGTGACAGATACATAGGTGACACACTGACACACAGTGACAGATACATGGTGACACACTGACACACAGTGACAGATACATGGTGACACACTGACACACAGTGACAGATACATGGTGACACACTGACACACAGTGACAGATTACATAGTGACACACTGACACACAGTGACAGATACATGGTGACACACTGACACACAGTGACAGATACATGGTGACACACTGACACACAGTGACAGATACATGGTGACACACTGACACACAGTGACAGATACATGGTGACACACTGACACACAGTGACAGATACATGGTGACACACTGACACACAGTGACAGATACATGGTGACACACTGACACACAGTGACAGATACATGGTGACACACTGACACACAGTGACAGATACATGGTGACACACTGACACACAGTGACAGATACATGGTGACACACTGACACACAGTGACAGATACATGGTGACAC